CTTTCCAATTTGGATCCCTTTTATTTTTTCCTTCCTGTCTGATTGCTATGGCTAAGACTTTCAATACTATGTTAAATAAGAGTGGCGAAAGTGGGCATCCTTGTCTTGTTTCTGTTCTTAAGGGAAATGCTTTTAATTTTTGCCTATTGAGAATGATGTTGGTTGTACGTCTTTCATATATGGCCTTTATTATGTCAAGATATGACCCCTCTATTCCCAGATCGCTGAGCTTTTTTTTCAGAAATGGGTGCTGGATTTTGTCGAATGCTTTTTCAGCATCTACTGATATGATCATATGACTTTTATTTTACATGTTGTTTATGTGGGGTATCACATTTATTGATTTGTGAATATTGTACCAGCCTTGCATCCCTGGGATGCATCCCACTTGGTTATAGTGAATACATTTTTGATGTATTGCTGGATTCAACTTGCTAGCACTTTGTTAAAGATTTTGGCATCTATGTTCATCAGGAATATTGGTCTGTAGTTTTCTTTCTTTGTAGTATCTTTTTCTGGTTTTGGAATTAGAATTATGCTGGCCTCATAAAACGAGTATGGAAGTCTTCCTTCTTCTTGAATTTTTTGAAATAGTTTGAGGATAATGGGTGTTAGTTCTTCTTTGAATGTTTGGTAAAACTCCCCCGTGAAGCCATCCATGCCTGGGCTTTTGTTTGCTGAGAGTCTTGATTACATCTTCAATTTGTTTTGTTGTTATTGGTCTGTTCAAGTTTTCTGTATCTTCCCGGTTAAGTTTAGGGAGACTATGTATTTCTAGAAATTTGTCAATTTTGCTTAGATTGTCGAATTTGTTGCCGTATAATTGTTCGTAATATTTGTTAACAATCTTTTGTATTTCTGTGGTGTCAGTTATTATTTCTCCTCTTTCATTTCTGATTTTGTGTATTTGGGTTCTCTCTTTGTTTCTTGGTGAGTCTAGCTAAGGGTCTATTAATCTTGCTTATCTTTTCAAAGAACCAGCTCTTTGTTTCATTGATCCTTTGAATTGTTTATTTTGGTCTCTATGTCAGTTATTTCTGTTCTGATCTTTACTATTTCCTTCCTTCTACTTGCTCTGGGGTTTTCTCTTTGTTAGTTTTCTAGTTCTTTAAGTTGTGAGGTTAGTGTGTTAGAAATTTTTCTTGTTTCTTGAGTGCTATGAACTTCCCTCTCAGAAATGTGTTTGCCGCATCCCATAGATTTTGAATTGTTGTGTGTTAATTTTCATTGGTTTCCAGGAAGTTTTTAATTTCTTCCTTGGTCTCCATGGTAACCCATTCATTGTTCAATAACATGCTATTTAGCCACCACATTTTCAAATGTCTTTTCATGTTCTTGTTGCAATTGATTTCTAGTTTCATGCCATTGTGATCTGAGAAGATGCTTGATATGATTTCAATCTCCTTGAACTGGTAGAGACTTCGTTTGTGCCCTAACATGTAGTCTATATTTGAGAATGCCCTATGTGCACTTGAGAAGAATGTGAATTCTGCAGTTTTGGGGTGTAATTCTCTGTAGACATCTATGAAAGCATTTTGATCTAGCGCTTTATTTAGAGTCTGTGTTTCCTTGTTAATTTTTTGTCTAGATGATCTATCCAGTGATGTCAGCGGGGTATTGAAGTCCCCTGCTATGACTGTATTGTTGTTGATTTCTCCTTTTAAGTCCTCCAGAAGATTTTTAATATATGTTGGTGCTTCTATATTGGGTGTATATATATTCACCAAGGTTTTATCTTCCTGTTGGATAGATCCTTTCGATATTATGTAGTGGCCTTCTTTGTCTCTAGCTATGGTCTTCATTTTGAAATCTACTTTATCAGATATAAGTATTGCTACCCCAGCTTTTTTTTCCTTTCCGTTTGCTTAGAAGATTTTTTTCCATCCCTTCACTTTCAACCTATGTGAGTCTTTTGTTGTGAGGTGAGTCTCTTATAAACAACATATATGTGAGTGATGCTTTCTGATCCAGTCAGCTACTCTATGTCTTTTTATTGGAGCATTCAAACCATTCACATTTAAGGTGATAATTTATATGTACTTATTTATTGCCATTTTTGTTTAGTGTGGTTCTATATTTCTTCCTATTTCTTCTACTAATTACAGCAGTCCTTTTAGCATATCTTGCAGTGCTGGTTTGGTGTTAATATATTCCCTTAGCCTTTTTTTTTTGCCTGGGAAGCTCTTTATTTGACCTATTTTGAATGATAGCCTTGCTGGATAGAGTAGTCTTAGATACAGATCCTTGTTCTTCATGACCTTGATTACTTCATGGCACTCCCTTCTGGCCTGTAGTGTTTCTGTTGAGAAGTCAGCTAAGAGCCTTTTGGGGTTTCCTTTGTAGGTAACCTGTTGCTTATCTCTTGCTGCCTTTAGGATTCTGTCTTTAATTTTTGGCACTTTGATTTCCATGTGTCATGGTGTGGGCCTGTCTGGGTTCTTCTTACTTGGGGCTCTCTGTGCTTCTTGAACTTGAATGCCTTCTTCCTTCACTAAATTAGGAAAGTTTTCTGTCACTATTTCTTCAAATATATTCTCTAACCTTTGCCCATTTTCTTCCTTTTCAGGGAATCCTATAATGAGAATGTTATTACATTTCCAATTGTCCCACAGTTCTCTTAAGCTGTTTTCCTGTTTTTTAATTATTTTTTCCTTTTGGATTTCTGATTGGTTGATTTTTTCTCCCCTGTCTTGTAATTCACTGATCCGGTCCTCAGCTTCCTCTACTCTGCTGGTTAGTCCTTCCAATGTGTTCTTAATTTCTTTTATGTCATTCTTCATTTCCACTTGGTTGGTTTTCAATGTTTCTATATCTTTACTCATAGTGCTGATGTCCTTACTCATGCTGTTGAGCTTCCTCAAGATCATGGCTCTGAACTCTACCTCTGATAATTTGCTTAGTTGTATTTCATTTATCTCATCTTTGATAAAGTTCTCTTGTTCATGGCTCCCTGTACTGGCTTTGGATGAGCTTGGGTGGGCCCATGTTAAACACCACTGTCAAGCCTTACTTTCCTGGGTAGATTTTCAAGCCCAGGAAAGGTTCAGTTATCCTCTAGCTTTTTCCTGGAGGCTAGTAGTCTCAATTACTCAGTGCCTTGGAATGTAGCCCTGGTGTTCTGCATAACAGGATTTCCAGAAGGTGGGAAAGATGCTGGTTGTTAATGAGCCTCAATTTTCATTTCTTTGTCTCACCTGGGAAAGGCTGAATCTCTGAGGGAGGGGGCTGCTGCTTTTCCCCACAACTCTGGGAAGGAGCACACTAGCCACTGTCCTTTGTAGCCACAACTCAGCAAAAACTCTGAGTGCCCTCCAAATCCCAGGTGTCCCCAGAGTTCCAGTGCAGTCTGCCCTCCCTCTGCCATAACCCCCAGGTGAGTGGCTGTGGTTATTTAAGCGCTCTGTCCTGGCTGTCTGCGCCGTGGAGTGGGCTTGGTCTTTATTCCCCAACGGCACTGCTCACAGCTAAAACTGCTGCTGTCCTGGGCTCCCAGCCCGCCACTCTCTCGTGCCTCCGCAGATCCTACCAGTGTCCCTGGTTATACGGTCCTGTCCTGCTGCTTTTCTGTTGGTTTTCTCCGAGGGTTTGTCTTTATTTTAGTTGTAATTCCTGTTTGGTCCTGGGAGATCATCTGTGTAGCTTCTATTCACTCCACCTCCATTTTCACATCCTCTAAGCCTATCTTGTGCATAGGTGGGTCGCACTTGTCTTTCTGGTGCCCCCGCACCCTGTAGGTCCTGCGGGTAACTGGATTGCACAGTCCCTTTGGGGACCCGGCTCTATGCCTATGTTATGGGCTGCTGGGTAACAACAGGCCTCTCTGGTGCTTCAGCACCCCGCAGGCCCCATGGGTAACTAGATTGCACAGTCTCTGCTGGGTTGCACAGTCCTCTCTGGTGCTTTAGCACCTCACAGGTCCTGCCTGTAACTGAATGGTACAGTCCCTGCTGGGTTGCACAGGCCTCTCTGGTGCTTCAGCACCCGCAGGTCCTGCCGGTAACTGGATGGCACAGTTCCTGCTGGGTCGCATGGGCCTCTCTGGTGCTTCAGCACCCTACAAGTCCCGAGAGTAACTGGATTGCACAGTCCCTGCTGGGTCGCATAGGCCTCTCTGGTGCTTCAGCACCCCACAGGTCCCATGGGTAACTGGATAGCACAGTCCCTGCTAGGTTGCACAGGGCTCTCTGGTGCCCCCGCACCCTGCAGTTCCTGCAGGCAGGCAGCTGGATCACACCAGTCTCTCTCGGGCTCTGGTTTCCCACTGCACTTGTGAACTACTGGACTGCACAGGCCTCTGTGGAGCCCCAGGTCCTGCTGCTGGGGGCTGGGGAGCGCTGCTGCCCTGTGGGGCTCAACTGCTGCTCAGCTTTTCCTGTAGATTTTGGGGATGGGTCTCAGCTGCTGGTCTGTGCTTCTGTTGCCTAGGGATGGATGTCTGCTGCCCAGCCTCTGTTGCTGGGGTTATATCTCAACTATGATCAGGTTACCACTGTGGGGGATGGTGCTGGGCTCCCGGCTGTCCCCGGCTTCAGTGACTGGCACCTTCGGAGCTCCATTACTGTGCACCGGTCTGTGTTGACACAGAGTGTCCACTGGTCTGATGGTACCCGGTGTGCTGGTGGGCTCAGATTACTGGGCCCTAGCCGCTCCCACTGCCTCCTCCCAGGGAAGACCTGGGATCTTCCAAAATGGTGGGACCTCCCTGCGGCACCGGGAAGCGCCCTGAAGAGCCGCTTATCGAGATAACTGGCTGCTCTTGTCCACAGCACAGGAACCTTCTGCTCCGCATCTCTGCATGGGTTTGGTTGTCCACCTTCATGTCCAATCACACAGTCTCTCACACACTCACCCTCCCTCCCCAAAATGATAACTTTTGTGTTATATATATTCACCACAATAATAAAATAAAATAAAAATATACACTTTGCCAAATACTGGCTTAGTTTTTTCTTAATTCTAATATTGTGATAAAATCACAAAAATAGAATAAATTACCTTACCTCAGCTACACAACAAATTGATCCTAAGGCTTCGCCACGAAAACCATAAGTTGTCAAATTTTCAAGATCTTCATGATTATTTATTTTTGAAGTGTAGTACTTCACTGCCATTACAGGTGCATCAGTGGCCTTGATACCTTCACCATTGTCTCGCACTTCAATTTTATCAAATCCGTAATTCTCCTAGACAAAGTTAAAAAATACTTTTAGTATACAAAGAATTAAACTGTTACAACATTTAGAAACAGAAACACAAGTGAAATAACTTTGTCATTCACTTATCTTTTATAGAAACCAAATCTTAAGGAAGTAAGAGTTTAATTTCTTAAGTCTATTATCTCCTAGCTATGGTACAGTGGGCAAGTCCCTCATTTTCCCTGGACTCGGATTCAACCGTAAAATAAGAAAAATCAGTCTGATCTTTTAAGTTAACTTGAATTGTCTCAGTATCATAGGTTTTTATGTTTAAACTTGACTAAAAAAGATCCTACCAAATTATAAATACCTTTGTATATGTAATCTCTCAAACAAGTAACAACAGCATAACCATCAAAAACAACACCCACAATGCCCTGGTCAGTTTTTCTCAGCCGTTAGAACATTGGCCTGTGGACCAGAGTTGAGGGTTTGATTACAGTCAAGGGCATGTACCTTGGTTGTGGTTTCTCCCAGGCCCTGGTTTAACTTGTATGGGAGGCAACCTGTCAATTTGTCTATTTCACATTGATGTTTCTCTCCCCGCCTCCCTCCCACTCTACCTGAAGATAAATGGAAAAATACCCTCGGGTAAGGATTTAAAAAAAAAAAAATCACCTACCAACAGTCTAGCAATTATTTTTCAACCTGACTTTTAATACTTTCTCCCTTGAACTACTTATTGTTTCAATAAGATATTTAAATATTTACATAACTTTAAATTTCTTTCTGCATAGTTACCTAAAAGGAAACTGCTGAGAAAATATACCTAATATGGCAATTTCTGAGTTTTTAATTTGAAAAAAACAAGAAAAACCCTCAATTCATGTGTTATCTAACACTAAAATATGCATACATAACAAAAAAAAATCTAAATTCCTATAGTGATCACACTTTCTATGAATACCATTTTCTAAACTTGATACTAAACTTCTATCATAAACTTGACTTCATAAAGTTTTATGTGTTGTAGATGCAAGTTTTAAAGAAAAAAGTATCTGCCCTGGCCAGTTTGGCTCAGCGGTTAGAGCGTCCTCCTGTGATCCAGAGAGACCTGGATTCGGTTCCTGCTAAGGGCATGTACTTGGGTTGCAGTTTGTCCCCAGCTGTGGTTGGGTTGTGTGGGTGGCAGGCACTTGTGTGTGTCCCTTTCATGTCGATGTTTCTCTCTCTCTTCCTCTTTCTCCTTCCTGCTCTACCTGAATAAAAAATGGAAAAATGTCCTCAAGTGAGGATTAAAAAAAAACACTTCCTACAATACAATGACTCTGGTATTTAAAATAATACATCTGTTTAATAACCTAAAATTATGTAATACCATTCATGTCAGTACTTTTTAGATAAAACAGATATACAAGGTGTTGAGGGGGAGCTATCCAAGATTTAGTTCTTATCTCTTTCCAATGTAACATTAAATTAGTCTGGTAATAGCTGGTCTGCTTTTTTAGAGAATAGTCTCTAACTACAGAAACACAAATCTTTCTTTTTCTTTTAAATATGTTTTTATTGATTTTTTTAGAGAGAAATATAAACATTGATGTGAGAGAGAAACATCAATCGGCTGCCTCCTGCATGCCCCACACTGGGGATCAGGCCTGAAACCTAGGCATGTTCCCTGACCGGGAATAGAACTGGGACCTCTCAGTCCATGGGACAACGCTCAGTCCACTAAGCCACACTGGCCAGGCCTTTCAATATAAATAAGAACTCCAGTCATCTGAGAAAAATAACACAAAGATCCCTTTAAATTTTTAGAAAACTATCAACCTGTTTAACTAATTAGAAACATTCCTAGCCAGGATAGTTATTATTGTATGAAACCATAATAAAATGGGCCTTATAATGCATAACAACACAGAGGTTTATTTTAAAAGAGAAAATGTAAGTATCAAGAGACTAATATATATAGCTAGTTAAAAATATGTACTTTGGCCCTGGCCGGTTTGGCTCAGCAATTAGAGCATCCGCCTGCGGTCCGGAGAGACCCGGGTTCGGTTCCCGCTAAGGGCATGTACCTCGGTTGCAGTTTGTCCCCGGCCCTGGTTGGTCGTGTGGGTGGCAGCCATTCGATGTGTCTCTTTCACATCGATGTTTCCCTCTCTCTCCCTCCCACTCTACCTGTGCAAAAAATGGAAAAATGTCCTCAGGTGAGGATAAAAAATAAAATAAATAAAATAAATAAAAAATAAATAAATAAAAATATGTACTTTGATTTACTTTCCTGAGAGGACTTCTGTTGGCTTTATAGCATAATTTTTTTTTTTAACTCCTCAAATGAGAATATTTTTCCATTTATTTTCAGACAGAGTGGAAGGGATGAGGTGAAGGAGCGGGGGGGGGGGGGGGGGGAGAGGAAGTAGAGGAGAGAGAGACAGAAACATCAATGTGAGAGAGACACATCAATTGGTTGCCTCCCGCAGGACCCGGACCAGGGCCAGGGACTGAACCGCAACCAAGGTACCTGCCCTTGACCGGAACCTGTGACTCTGGTCTGCAGGCTGACACTCTAACTGCTGAGCCAAACCAGCCAGAGAATTTGAGAACAAGGTGTTTGTCTGCCCACAATTCTTTAGTGAAATATGCCTAATCCTATTTAATAACTATCAATTGTATTAGAATCAGACTAAAATGAATATAAAAAAATGTCCAAGAAAAATAAATTGTCTTTCTTTGGGTTTAAAAATTTTTTTTCATGTTTATAAAGCTTACATTTATTTTTATTATTATTTTTTTTAATCCTCACCCGAGGACATTTTTCCATTTTTTGTTCAGTTAGAGTGGGAGGGAGAGAGAGAGAGAGAGAGAAACATCGACATGAAAGGGACACATCGAGTGGCTACCACCCGCACGACCAATGAGGGCCGGGGACAAACTGCAACCGAAGTACGTGCCCTTAGCGGGAACTGAACCCGGGTCTCTCCGGATCGCAGGCCGATGCCCTAACCGCTGAGCCAAACCGGCCAGGGCGTAAAGCTTACATTTAAAAACAGGTTTGACATGGTATAGAATAGCAGTTCTCAGCTTCAACTAGAAATCTGCTAGAAATGCAAATTCTTGGGTCCTATCTAGAATCTGAAATTTTGAGGTCCAGTAACAGTTTTAACAAACTCCCTAAATTATTATGATGTACCCAAACATTTTGGGAGCCACTGGCATACAGGAAAGATCTTGAATGGGTTTTAGAGTCAGAAATACCTGAATTCCAATCTCAGCTTCCCTACTTATGAACTGTATGACTTTGGGTAAGTTATAAGAACCTTAATTATTTGTAAAGTGGATATAGTAATAGCTAATTCACAGAGTTTTTATAAGAATTTTATAAGATATAAATATATACACAAAAAGGGTAGGTTTCTTTCCTACAAAAATATTAGTGTCATATTATTTCTAATACTGTAATACTAAAAATAATGTATATATCTGATAATTAGGAGACTACAAGAAAGGTATACTTTCATTCACTCAAACAAATTTACCACCCATGCACCATTTATATGTCGTTTACTCACTATTTATGTAGTAGGTACTGGCCAGGTATGGTGGACACAGAAATGGAAAAAATACAGACCTTACCTCTATGAGCTAGTAATTTATAACAGAGGAGGAAGACATGCAACGTAACTATAATAAATCATGAGTGTCATATCATATTAACTCAAATTATTTAATATATATCACTTAAATTTAAAAATGTGAAAACTATGAAGCAACAAAGGAAACAGGTTTTCTTGTTTTGTTAATCCTCATCTGAGGATATTTGTTTCCATTGATTCTGCAGCAGTGGGGGAGGGGGTATGGGGATGGAAAGAGAGAGGGGGAGGAGAGAAGGAGGTTGGGAGAGAGAGAAGAAAAAAGAGAAAAATGGATGTGAGAGAGACACATCCATTGGTTACCTCCTACAAGTGCCCTCATGGGACTGGGAATCAGACCTGAAACCCAGGTAGGTGTTCTTGACCAGAAATCAAACCCAAAACCCTGACATGTTTGCCTGACACTCTAACCCCTGATCCACACTGGCTAGAGCAGGAAACAATTTTGAGATAAGATTGGATAAAAAAATAAAATGCAAATAAGAATATATAAATAAGTATACCATATATCAATAACCTAGAATAAATACTAGTAGAAAACACAGACAAATTAAATTCATGTAATGGAGTCCTAAATAAGAAGTTTTCTTTTATAATTTCCTTTAGTGTTACTAATGTTGATTAAAATTAAAATTTGTTTTTAAGAATTTATTCTTAAACAAGACAAAGGGTCCAATGTCCTCTGAAATTACTGGTACATATAAAGAAAAGAAAGGTTAATAGTTGCAAGGAGAAAATATCTATCCAGCCCTTTTTTGCTTTAAAGGTATTTGGTTTCTCAGGGACACTCACCAGTTTAACATCTATGCTTGTGGCACCTGCATCCAAGGAATTTTCAATGAGCTCTTTTACAACACTAACCACTGAAGTGATTATCTGGGAACTTGAAAGGAGGCGAACTGTTGCTGCAGGTAACTGTTTCATTCTAGCTTTTAGCAGAGTAGCTAGAAGATAAAAATGTAAATTGTAAAAATTAAAATGGTTAAACATTCCTAACAGAACTAATAGCAACATCAATAATAGAAGCTCGTATTTATGGAGACTCACTACATGCCAGGCTCTAATGTAAATACATACAGTATTAAATCATTTATTTCTTTTTTTTTTTAATCCTCACCAGAGGATATTTTTTCATTTTTTGTACAGATAGAGTGGGAGGGAGAGAGAGGAAGGGAGAGAGAGAGAGAAACATCGACGTGAAGGGACACATCGAGTGGCTGCCACCCGCACGACCAACCAGGGCCGGGGACAAACTGCAACCGAAGTACACGCCCTTAGCGGAACCGAACCTGGGTCTCTCCGGACCGCAGGCCGACGCTCTAACCGCTGAGCCAAATTGGCCAGGGCTAAATCATTTATTTCTTAAAAATACTCTTTGAAACAGATGCTATTATCATCTCCATTTTATAAGACTCAGGCACAGAGAAGTTAGTTGGTGAATCATGTTATGGTAATAACTGAAGGATAAGCAAAATTGAGTTGTGTCATGTGATCTGTCTGGCTGGAAATGACCAGATGGGTACCTTCACTTTGGGATGCAGATGTCAGTCATGTGCTTGCATGTCAGTCTCACTGAAACATCAGTAGTCACCCATACCTTTTGACGAGTTACAATGTGTTTTTCAATTATTGAGCACTTTTGGAGTTAGGATCTCAAGACTCTAAAATGACTGTTAATCCAAACTAGTGAGATCCCAGACATGCGATAACTACCCTCTATACTACTGTGCTTGAAATGTTCAAATCATGTGGTTCTCCAGGGCCTAATGAGATAAAGCTCAAATCTCTGCACTGGCATTCAAGGTCCTTTACTTGCCAATACAAACTATACATCCAAAATCTCTTTTTCAGTTATTGTTCTAGCTATGAAACCCTTTCAAACAAAGGACAAAAAAAACCTATGAAAATCCAGTATGTAAAATGGGTTTGCATCTGTCTTAATGCCTAATTTCAGAAAAAGATTTCAGGAAAATAAACACCAGTTTCACAACACACAATTCTTCTAGAGTCAAGATTTTCTTTGACAAAAAACTTGGGCAGGGAACTAAGTATATCCTTAATTTACTATGACTAGTTACATGCTCACATGATGAGTTGATCCTATGGTATCTAGGTCCAAATAAACAGCAATGCCAAAAACAAACAAAACAAAAATAAGTACTTTTAGCATTCTTTCTCAGGCAACATAAGACAAGCAGAGTCACATAAAGAAAGAGTCAGTAACTGAGCAAGAAATGCAGTATAGCCCATAACAATTACATAGGATTTTAAAGGATACATTTCTGGGAAAAGGCTAATATTGAGTTTTGAGTGGTGTTAAAGTCACAAATATAATGATTTTTTTTTTTTTTTGTACAAGGCAAAGCTGATTAGCACAGTAGAAAAATATACCATATCAGAGTTTTAAAATACAGGTTTTGGAGTTCATCTTTATTACATGTAAAATGAAGCAAATCCCTCTATAAAATCAAGTCATCACCTATATAAGTGGAGATAATGTCACACTGGTTTGTTGTGAGGATCAAAGCAAGCATATATAAAATGCTATATGTGGTAAGGCCAGAATAAATGTACATTATGATGATGATGACAGCTGATTATGTAAAACAATGCTGGGAATTCATTTTTAATTCTAATAATTACCTTCTAACTATATATTTGATATAGTTTGAGGGGTACCCAGTTTTAAGGAGAACAGTTGTTAACAACTACCTCTCAAATATTTCTTTGTGGCTCTCAAGGATTGGGAGGCTTTCCTGATAAATCAGGAAAACAATGGAGAGCAGAGCTGCTCTATTACCTTACCATTCATATAAATTAATGCTTTCACAAGCAAAAGGCACCCTCTGCACTCTCCCCAAGCTTCAGACTGGCCTTACATCTAAGGATATAAAGCTGCATTGTCCTGTATGGTAGCCACTACCCACACGAGCCCTTGAAATGTGACTACTCCAAATTGAGATGTGTTAACACACTCTAGACTTCAAAATCAGTATTGAAAAAATATAAAATCTTATTATTCTTTACACTGATTACAGGATAAAATGATATTCTGGATATACTGAGTTATATAAAACATTAAAATTAATTTTACTTTATTTTTTTATTTTTAATGTGCCTACTAGAAAATTTAAAATTGTATGTGTGGCTTACATTATAGTTCTATTGGACAGTGGGAGGTAAAGTTTTAAAAGTGCAGGTCCTGAAATCACATTGCTTTTGGTCCTATCCTAGCTTTTACACTAACAGTTATATGATGCCAAGGAAATTAAAGTCTAATACTCAACCAATCTACAAAATGGAGATAATAATGATTATCATATGGTTGCAGTAAGCAAATAAGATACTTATTATAGCGTTTGGCATATATTTGCTAAAAGATCCCACAATACTTGAACTAACTTGAGTCTCTCCAAACTCCTAAATGAATTCCTAACCCCTATATCCAAAGAGGCTAGCATCAGGTTAAACTTATGTTAAAAAAGATATCTACCATAGTCTGAGAATCCCAAGGATCTAAGACAAATACTTATCAATCAACCTTCAGGATATAAATCTAGCCTCACCTTAACCTTCATTCTTTCTGAGCAATCTCTTCATTAATCTCATTATCAGCCATAGCATTAATTCTATCTTCACACACACCTTACCTCCTCTACCCAACTGTGTCTCCTGGTTTCTTAAAATGTCTGCACCTCTACCCATATTCTTCTTCCCTCAGGTCAAAGTCTCTTCCTCCTAAACTAACACTTATACCATGTTTCCTTATCTAGTCCCCTTCCCCCACCCCCATGCATCTTGGCATTGAAAGCAAAATCAAACAAAAATTCTTCCCTCAACCCTTTACTCCAATAATTATCTCCCCTTTTTCTTTATGAAGCCAAAACTTGAATAAGTAACCTATGTTCACTGTCACCAATTCAATTCTAAAACCCTTGCAAAATGGCTTATACCCCACAACCATTGTCAGTATTCTTTTTTATTTTTAATCCTCACCCAAGGACATTCTTCCATTTTTTTGTTCAGGTAGAGTGGGAGGGAGAGAGAGGGAGAGAGAAAAAAAGAGAGAGAGAGAGAGAGAGAGAGAAACATTGATGTGAAAGGGACACATTGAGTGGCTGCCACCCGCATGACCCAACCAGGGCCGGGGACAAACTGCAACCGAGGTACTTGCCCTTAGCGGGAACCGAACCGGAGTCTCTCGGGACTGCAGGCCAATGCTCTAACCGCTGAGCAAAAGAGCCAAAGCAGCCAGGGCTGTCAGTATTCTTTTCAAGTTCACCAATGATTTCCCAAAACAAAACTTTGATGACACTCCCTAATTCTCAAGGATCTTCCCATCTATACCTCTTTGATCTCTTCATGTTTTCTTCATTCTCCTCCCAGAAATATGGTCATACCTCAATCCCTCTCTCCTCTTCTTAGATATCTTAAAACCTGAAGTCTCAGATAGAGAAAAATATCTAAATCTATATCCCCAACAGAGATCTCTCTCTTCCTAACACAGGTAGTTCTAAAAAAATCAGTGTCACTGCCACTTCAAAATAAATATTTTTTTTTTTTAAGGCAGGAGTGGGGAAGGAGGAGGGAGTCAATGGGGGGAAAAAGGAGGGACACCTGTAACACTTTCAACAATAAAGATAAATGAAAAAATAAAATAAAATACAAGTATTTCTAAAACAGAACTTATCTTCCCATTCCCTTTCCCATGCCTTCTACTAAATTTTGCTATTTTTCTTAATAAAATACTGATCTTAGTGACCAAGGTCAAAAACTTCAATCTTTCTTTGCCAGCAATCCCACCCTGTTTGCACCTCTACTTCCCCCTAATGCAATTCTGTCTTATAGACCCAGTGCCAGGAATGTCTGTAACATGCCCCTTTCTGATCACCCAACCAGGAATGATCCTTCCCTCCCACTACATTCCTAAAAAACTTTGCTTGCGCCCTGGCCGGTTTGGCTCAGCGGTTAGAGCGTCGGCCTGTTAGAGCGTCGGCCTGCGGTCCTGAGAGACCCGGGTTCGGTTCCCGCTAGGGGCGCGTACCTTGGTTGCAGTTTGTCCCCGGCCCTGGTCGGTCGTGCGGGTAGCAGCCACTCGATGTGTTCCTTTCACATCGATGTTTCTCTCTCTCTCTCCATTTCTCTCTCTCCCTCCCACTCTATCTGAGCAAAGAATGGAAAAATGTCCTCGGGTGAGGATAAAAAAACACACAAAACTTTGCTTGCATCACTCACTGCATGTTCATCACAACCCCGTCGTGACCTATACAACTTTTGAATGCAGAGAATTATATATTTCTGGATGCAACACAGAATAATCAGAGTACTTCACTCACGGTAAGCACTTCATTAATACTAATGAAGGGTCATGAAATTAATTTTATCAGCACCTTTCCGTTACCAACGTAAACATTAGAAAGACTGTCCTCCTTCCCAACAAGTTACTGCTGCCTAAATTCATGCCCTTTATAAAGTCTATTTTCACTGGCCTCCATATGATCCTTTTCCTCACCTGTATCTCCTAACCAGACTTTTTTCTAAATTCCAGGGCAGAATCTTATTTCCAAATACCTTCTAAATATCATTTAGATGATTTGGAGACATTTAAACTTAACATGTTACAAACTGCTCTGGCCAGTTTGGCTCAGTGGTTATAGTGTTGGCCTGTGGACCAAAGAGTCCCAGGTTTGATTCCAGCCAAGGGCATGTACCTTGGTTGCAGTTTGTCCCTGGCCCCACTTGGGGTCGTGCAGGTGGCAACCAATGTCTCTCTCTCTCTCACATCGATGTTTCTTTCTCTCTCTCTCTCCCCCTCCCACTCTGTCTGAAGATAAATGTAAAAATATCCTCGGGTGAGATTAAAAAATAACAAAACATGTCACAAACTGATCTCAGAATCTTTCTCTAAATAATCTTCTTCTTATGTCTTTTTGACGAAAACAATAGCTAAAATAAGCAACTTTATATATATGTATACACATAAATATACATATAATTCCATTTATGTATATTATCATTCCTCTATCACAAATTAGATTTAAAAGCTTAATAACTTGTTTAAGAGCACATAACTAATAAGTGACAGATGCACACCTTGACATGCTTTACTCCAAAGGCCATGCTATTCTCACAAGGCAAAATCAGAAACCTTGAAGTTATCCTAGAAATTCTCCTTACTTTCTACATCCTGTCACCAAATGCCATCTATCCCGTTACTTAAATATTTTTCAAACTAGTCCTTTCCTTTCTATACCTATTGCTACTGCCTCTGTTCAACCCCACAAAATTTCTCCCTTGCTATTTGGAATAACCACCTAGTAGATATTTTGCCTAAAATCTCAATCACCTATAGGGTTCTGTCTTTAATTTAAATTTCATTATATTGCTACCCTATTTAAAATTTATAAAGGTTTCCAACTACTAATTCGGTCAAGTCCCAATTATGTAACAATTGGACCTCTATCTTTCTAATCTCATTCCACTCTCCTCCAGACGCACAGGACAGTCATACTATACAACCTGTCCCTTTCTTAATGTGGTAGTAGTCACTGTTTCCTAGCTCACAAGGTTCCCTCTCCTAATAGATGACTTCTAACCATCCCTCCAGCTGTAGCTCAAGTTGAATCTCATCTCCTCAAGGACGATTTTCTTACTAGCTCCACCCCCACCCCCAGCAAATTAAGCATTCCTTCCTCTATATTACTACTGTACCTTTTCCTTATTTCTAACCCCATACTCATCACAGGTTATTCTAACTATTGCTTTTCTGTCCCTTCCCTCTGGCTCAGAGTTCTCTGAGGACAGAGATTTTGTACTAATCTCATATCCCAAACATAACCTCTGGAACACGGCAAGCATTCTGCAGTATATGCAACAAATGGCATCTTTGGAAAAGTGGAAGGGTTGATATCAGGCTTACAAGTTACAGCAGAGAATATCTGAGAGTGTCAGGAATCAATCTTCCATATCTACTGAGAGGGAAATCGACACTCCTGAATAAGTGCCGATGACCAGGAAAGTCATTAAGGACAACAGAGTACCTAAAAAGAAGCAGAAATCAGATAAAATAATTTATTCCAAGAACATACTAAATCTAACACAATTGTTTGATAGAGCCAATAAAAATGCAAGATATGTATAGTCAAACTCTTACACCAATTTCGAAATGTTGAAAGCTATTTCAGCAAAACAAGTCACAAACTTTGTGTACTGCCAAATAATGTAATTCGTCTTCAAATACGACTCCAAGCACTCTGATTTTTTTCCTCTCGGTCCTCCAATAAAATCAATTTTTGGTATCCACATTTCCTCAGCATACATTACAGATGCCTGACTTCAGCGTGTAGAGAAACCCAGAAATGACACCAGTAAAAATCATCGTTAGCCGAAAAGAATTTGCTTGCACTGCTTGTTATGATGCCACAACACACGATATTATAAAAACACCACACTCGCGAGTTACGGCAGTCTGTCAGGGGCTGGAGTTTATGCCTGGCAAACAACAACGTTTTAAGTCTTGCACCCTGAAAGATCTGGGGACTTGGATGCAACAGAGGCCCAAACACAATTTAGGCAGCAAAGACCAAAGCTAACGTTTAAGGAGCAGAGCGCAGACTGGCTCACGGTCGCTCTCCAGGTGTGCGCGACCCGCGCGCCGGCTAGTCCGCTTCCCGCCCCGTGGTGGGGGAGGGGCGCCCACAGAAGCCAGCGGCTATCGCGGACCGACCAGAACGAGTTGAGGGGAGAGGGCCCCGAGCCCACGAGAACATAAGAACGAATGCTCGTTAGTCACACGACACTACCTTCCTGCTCGCGCGAGGTGGGAAATTACCATCCACTTAGCCGACCAGCCAGCATCCCTCCCGCAGCCCAGACCCGGCCTCGCAGACGCCGGATTGCTCTCAGCGCGCGCGCAGCGGGGCGGGCACAGGCGCGCGTCATTTAGTCCCGCCCCTCCCGGAGAACGTGGGATTGGCACTGCATGCAGCCAATCCGCTGGCAGCGCATTTGGTTCTGAAAGCTTCCGCAAGCTAAACTAAGCTGCTCTGGGGCTGACCACTGGCATTCGGCCTTGGGAGACACCGTCGCTGTGGAGTGGATTCTCCTCTGAGCCGGCCACGCGGAGAGTGGCGGTGGGTGAGTGGCCACGAACGGCCTCTGGGGTGTGATGCTCCCTGCGGCGGTAGGGAGCTGCTGGTGGGTCGGCGTCGGCCTAAGGGAGGACAGTAGGCTCCGGCTGTGTCCGCGCACCCTTTCTGGCGGTGTGGGCCAAGTGGCCTGTGAGGCTAGCACCCCAAATGTTTGTCGTGGTGCCTCGGCGCTGACGGAGATGCAGCTCCGAGAAGGAAGGGGCGGGTGGGGGTGGTGCAGCGGGGCTAGCAGTAGCAGCTTTTGCTAAGCTTGCACTATCCCGGAGCGCCGGCGGGCAGCTGGCTGAAGGCGAGAGACCCCTCCTCGTCGCCCTCAGGCACCCTCTGGGTCTGAGCCGAGAGAATTTTCGCTGTCTGGAGTCATTGTGTGCCGGTGTCGCGGCAGACTCCCCGGAAAGGTCTTCTGTAGTGTGGGTTGGGGCCGTACCACACCACCTTTGCCTTCCAGCTCATGTAAATTTTGAGCGTCTTTCGAGCATGTTTCCCTCCCCATATGGAAAGGGGTAATCTTGAGTGGTGGTATGTTCTGAGTATATAACTCACCATATAAAAATAATGTATGATACATGATTAGAAAAACAATATTTGCACATGTAAATTTGAGACTTTTGCTTCGTTTTAGTGTAACCAACTGTCATCACTGTAAGCCTTGATTCCTTGAGTTCTTCCATAGATTTTTTTTGGAGGGGGAAGGGGACATTGTACTTCGTAAACACTTGTTAGATGGGGTTATGAGAAATCTCTCTCTCAAAACCAACTCTAATGGAAAGGGTAGATATAGATATAGATATAGATATAGATATAGATATAGATATTAAATCAGAGCTGTTCCAAATCTGACTCTCTCTGGAACAGCTCTGATTTAAAAATCTGACTCTCTTTTCCTTCTCTAATCTCACTGGTCCATTTTTACCGGGATGCTAGGTATTCTTCAGAAAAGTTTTATTTTGTTTAAGGGATTTTTAGACCCAAACAAACATCATCAGTAAAATAACTGGGAATTATTATCAGTTCTTCCTTTGGTGTTCATCTTGAACCAAAAGGAAAAACCTAAGCAAGAAAGGAAAAAAAAAACTGAGTTGATTAAGGTTAAAATATTCAGAAGAAAGACTATTGTTTTGACCTAATTGTTTCAGGAGATTAAGAAACAAACCTTATCCCCTGACCATGTAAATTTTCCACCACCTTGTGTACCTCCCAGGTTCAGTATTCAGAAGGAGTGATTTGAACTCTGACCACTCTTTATGGATATAACATTACATTAGATATGAGCCTGGCTACTTACAACAGACTGGCTGGATCAGCTTTGCATTCTTTATATTAACTTATTCTGATGATAAATTTAGCTCCTGATTTTTCCCTTTGCTCTCATGATATAAGAAAATACAGGTTTTCTCTTTCAGTTGGAGTTTTCCTACCCATTATTTCATTTAGTAAAACCAACATGCTAGAAGACAAGTTTTAGGTAAGGGATTTTAACTGTTTGTTTTTTCAGCGAGAACCATAAAAACATTTCTTGTTTGTCTTACCATAAAGTCAGATGTTAAGAATTCTTTACTGCCTTTGTCAGTATCTGCACGTAGCATATTTTGGAGAGTGTGTTTGTTCTATTTCAGAACAACTATGAAAAAATAATCCTAGTTAACACAAGTATTTTATCATGTCAGAATTAGGATATTTAGGTTTCCAGTTATGTCAGTGTTGATTCATTTTATTGCTTTCCTACAGAGCAAACATGAATGTTGGAGTTGCCCACAGCGAGGTGAATCCAAATACCCGGGTAATGAACAGCCGGGGTATGTGGCTGACATATGCATTGGGAGTTGGCTTGCTTCATATTGTCTTACTCAGTATTCCTTTCTTCAGTGTTCCTGTTGCTTGGACCTTAACAAACGTTATACATAATCTGGTAAGAATTTCACCTTACATTAACACTTGAAAGTTAAGGTTTAATCATCAGTGACTGGGGGAGGAATAGTTGGGGAGTTACTGTTTAATGGGTACAGTTTCAATTTTGCAAGGTGCAGAGTTCAGGAGATGGATAGTGGTGATGGCTGCTTAACAATGGGAATGTACTTTATACCACTCAACTGTACACTTTTAAGATGGGTGATATGGAACATCTTATGTTGTGTATTTAAACACAATTTTTTAAAAATCTTAAAAGTTTTCTTATAAAGAAGAAAAGCATATGACTTAGTTTGTATAACAGTTTTATGAGCTATAATTCACATGATATAACATTCCCCCATTTAAAGTGTACAATTCAGTGATTTTTAGGGTTTAATGACAATTTTAAAGAATTCAAGTCTGTAATAGGATTACATATTTTTTATCACACTTTATATTTAAACATTAGGCCTTTTTTATAAGTAAGACTTTATTTCCCTTCTGTTTGGTTTTCTAGAATCTAGAAAATAGGTCATTTTAGCAAAAATTTAGCAAAGACACTATAATTCATGCTACAACATTATACTGATTAACCAGGATACTTCAGAAGAAGTAATTATGTTTTTTGGTTAATTGGAATCTAATGATCATCTTTTGTTTCAGTCCTTGTTAAGTCTTTCTAAATGGTATGCTTTCCTACTTCTGTATAGAAATTTTGACCTTAATCATATTTTATATGATTCAGGATTTGATGGTACCTTAGCTTCTTCATGTTGACTATCACTCTTCTGTATTATATGATAACTCTACAAAGTAATAGGTTTGATCACCTCTGCTGACCATATTTTGCAGCCTTGGAAATTGCCTGTTAGAAAATAAACCTGATTGTGACTTTTCTTTAACAGCTTATCAGAATAGAATGAAAGAGACATCCAGTTAGTTGAGACTTTTAATTGAATCCAGATTAGTTATATGTTTAAAGATATCCCAAGCCCTGGCCAGTTTGGCTCAGCAGTTAGAGCGTCTGCCTGCGGTTCAGAGAGACCCAGGTTCAGTTCCCGCTAAGGGCATGTACTTTTTTGGCCAGTTGGGCTCAGCAGTTAGAGCGTCTGCCTGCGGTTCAGAGAGACCCAGGTTCAGTTCCCGCTAAGGGCATGTACCTTTTTTGCAGTTTGTCCCCAGCCCTGGTTGGGTTGTGCGGGTGGCAGCCACTCAATGTATCCCTTTCACATTGATGTTTCTCTCTCTCTCTTTCCCTCCCACTCTATCTGAACAAAAAAATGGAAAAATGTCCTCAGGCGAGGATTAAAAAAAAAAAAAAAAAAAGATATCCCCAAAGTTAAGAACTTAGAATTAAGACAGAAACATGTAGAAGAAATAGATTTTTAAAAATTAGTATTATTATTTTTATTTCTTCTGGAGAGTATTTAAAGTTGACTGGAGGAGGACAAGGTTCATGTGGTAGAAATTGGCCAATATGCATTTAGTCTATTTTCAGTAATAGACTTTGGTAGGGCAAACACCCTTTTAATTTTTTTATTTTTATTTTTTATCCTCACCTGAGCACACTTTTCCATTTTTTTGTTCAGATAGAGTGGGAGAGAGGGAGAGAGAGAAACATTGACTTGAAAGGGACATATCGAGTGGCTGCCTCCCAACCAGGGCCAGGGACAAACTGCAACCAAGGTTTGTGCCCTTAGCCGGAACTGAACCCAGTCTCTCTGGACTGCAGGCTGATGCTCTAATAGCTGAGCGAAATTGGCCAAGGCAGACACCTTCTTAAATAGTAACTTCTCTGAAATATTTGTTGTTAATCAGATCCCTTTTATTGGAATTCTTTTCCTTTGGCTTTCATCGTATTGCTTTTTCCTATATATATATATTTCTGATCTTTTCATTTTCTTTCTTTTTTAATCCTCACACCAGGACATTTTCACAGATTTTTAGAGAGAAAAAGAAGGGGGTGGGGGAGGGAAAGGAGGTAGGAAAGGCAAACATTTATAAGAGGTAGAAACATGGATTGGTTGCCTCAAGTACGAAGGATCAAACTAGCAACCTAGGCATGTGCCCTGACAGGGAATCAAACCTGAGACCTTTCAGTGTACAGGATGACACTCCTCCTCTCAACTGAGGCACACCAACCAGGGCTCTGATCTTTTCTTCCCTATTTCCTTTTGCACTTCCTGCCTGTTCCTTTCACAAGATTCTTTTCTTATGCTATATATTCTAAATTACTTTATCTTTTCATATTTTCCATTTCTACCAATAGAAGAATGATACCCATATTAATATTGCTAGATCACCTTGTATCTTAAACCATACAAGTATAAATTGAACCCATTCCTGATCTGTTCCTTACCACCCACAATCTAGTCCTCTGACTTTGTTCCTAATCTAATCTAAAGGCACCTCCGTCTTTCCAGTAAGCCAAGCCAGATAGCTGAATATCAAAGGAAAAGTGATCAATATAACGGATCATCCAAACTGAGTGTGTGTTGAGAGTAAAAGGGATCTGTAGTAACAACTACTCCAACAGAATAGGTGTAAATCAGAATCATCCATGCAAACTATGGTCACCCCAGTCTTTGGCTAACTCCTTTTCCTATATATTAGATTGTCAAATTTTAAAAAATGACAATAGCCCATACAACAATTGCCATCCAGTGTAAATGAATCAAAATTATACCTTTTTATCACATCAACAAAAAATGTGTTTTTTGGTATGCCACAGAATTTTAATAGTTTATATGTGCCATGAGATGGAAAAGGCTGAAAATCACTGCAATAGATAAATGGTCTCCTTGATGCTCCTATGCTTTTTTCCATTCCAGCTTGGTAGAATGATAGTTTTAAAATGCACATCGACTCAAGTCTCACTGTTTAAATCCTTCAATATTTCTCTATTATTTTCATAGTAAACTGCTAAATTCCTTGTGTGGGATACAAGACAAGTTGATAACTGTGTAAAGGCAAGAAAGGGAACTCAATTCTATTGTAGGCCATCTCCAGACACAAGCTATGTTCTAACAGAAATGAAAATCATCTTGTTCTCATCTTTTTACTTTGACTGAAGCTCTTCTATTGTTTTTTTCCTTTATTGAAGGGAGAAGGAGAGAGAAACATTGATGAGAGAGAACATCAATTGGCTTCCTCCTGCATCCCCCCCCCCCGCCCGGGTATTTGCACAACCTGGGCATGTGCCCTGACTGGGAATCAAACCAGCAACCTCTTGGTGCATTGGTTGATGCTCAACCACTGAGCCACACTGGCCAGGCATACTCTTCTATTTTAATACCCCTACCTTCTTCCTGCTCTGCCTGACTGAATCTTATTTGTTCAGGAAAACTCTACTCAAGTATCACTACCTCCAGGAAGCTACAAAACTCCCATGCTTTCTTTTATTTATAATGGTTTTATAATTAGCAGTTTATGTTTTTTACTTTTAATTTCTGTATCTCCAAATACTTATTTAAATGTTTGCTGAATAAATTAGTTTGTATTGCCATGTAATTTTTCTTTCTCCAATGACATTTGTATTAAATATACTTTAGAAGTTATTTCTGTTTTTTTTTTGTTTTTTTTTTTATCCTCACCCGAGGACATTTTTGCTTTTCAGATAGAGCATGAAGGAGAGAGGGAGGAAGAGAGAGAGAAACATCGATGCGAGAGAGACACATCGACTGGTTGCCACCCACACAACCCCTACCGGGGCTGGGGACAAACTGCAACTGAGGTACGTGCCCTTAGTGGGAACTGAACCCGGGTCTCTCTGGACCGCAGGCCGATGCTCTAACTGCTGAGCCAAACAGGCCAGGGCACTTTAGAAGTCATTTCAAGCCCTCATGTTTTCCATTTGGTTGACTGATATTGAGGCACAGTATATGGCAATGGAAAAGGATAGGAAATTGACAATATGTAGGGAAGGAAACTGCTGACTTATTAGTTCACCACACTAAAAACCTAACTAACCAGCCCTGGCCAGTTTGGCTCAGTGGTCAGATCGTCGGCCTGTGGGTTCGATTCCAGTCAAGGGCACGTACCTCAGTTTCGGTTAGTCCCCGGCCTTGGTCAGGGTCATGCCAGAGGCAACCAGTCAGTGTGTCACTCTCACTTTGATGTTTCTCTCTCTCTCCCTCTTCCTCCCACTGTATCTGAAGATAAATAGAAAAATATCCTCAGGTAAGGAATTAAAAAAAAAAATCTAACCAGACATAGCTGTAGCATTTATGACTCCAAACTTGTTTCTTTTGAAGATAGCCTATATTAAACCAATTAAAAATGTGAAATACATGCTGAATGCTTTTAAATATAGAAAAGTAGACCTAATTGGTATCCCTGATTAGAAAATATATAGTCTTTGTGTTTCTGAAACCACACTGTAGTGATTGTTTTTCTTCAGTGCTACAGTTCACCGTAGAGGTATTAATACTTTGCCAAATTTTTTGCCTAGCTTTTAAAATGAATGAGAATTCTTTTCATTTTGAGTCAGTAAATATTTGTTAAGGGCTACTATGAGCTACATTTTTTTTCCCTAATTCTTTTGATGTGGGTATAAATCATCCTCACTAAAATTTCATAGAAAAACTATTAAAAATAATGGAGTAGAAGATATATGACCAGATAAGATTTTATTTTTTATTGAAAAGGATATCTAAAATGAACTGAATATTACATATATTCTAAATATTGGTGAGTCCATGAATGTTATATATATTCTAAATACTGCTGATAACACTAGGATTGTTTTTCTCTGATAATTCTAACATATTATATCGTATAGAGTAGACTCAACTTTTTGAGGGTCACATACTCCTGAGAATTTGAAAGCGTACAATTTCTGTTTCATAGTTCCCTATAAAGCCCATGTGAAAATGTTTTCCTTATGCTTCCAGAATAAACATTCCTTAGTTTAATGTCAGCTTAATATCTGATATTTGCTATAAACCAGCCCTTGTTCCCTGAGGTATTCAGGCTCATGGGAAAACAAACAAGCAAACAACTCTAACACAATATGTATATATTGTGCTATAATAAAAGTATTAATAAAATTCAGCCATGTAGACAGGAGGTCATTACTAGTGAGGAGGCCTTCAATAAAGTGGTGTCATTTGAGCTGAATATTCAAGAATGAGATAGTTGACAAGGTAGCATTAAGACTTTTGCCTCAACAACAAGGAACCTTTTCCTTCTCTGCATTTCCTGAGTGCCCTGATTGTACAGTTGCTTCCCTACCTTCTAGTTGTATATGCATCTTTTTTTCCCCTTACCATCTTTTAGAAGATTGACGTTTTTCAGGCTGTCTTGTTCAATTTTATATATGCATGCATGTTCTGTGTCCTGTACATTTAAACTACTTATTGAATGTATGTTGAGTTAAATCCAGTTGAACATGAGTCCATTAATGTATAATTTAGCTGCTATTGTAGCTAAGCAACTCTTGGATTGCCTAATGGAATAAAGAAGTAGACCAAGCTTTGAAAATAAGGGCTCTCTTAACCTATACTAATAATGTATTCAAATCACTAATTTTTCTGTTTTTTCCCATATATTTGTTAAAGGTAGAAGTAGAAAAAATGACATCACATCATGACTTCTAGTGGGAAAAACTTTCATGATAATATTTAGGCTTTATTGTTACCAGTTCCTCAGACAGTGATCCTGCAATGAAGCACTGCCTCTCGATCTAAGCGCATATCATAATCTCTAGGAAAACAAATCTAGTATACATTGTTTTTTTCCTAATTAACCACAAATTTAGATGTTTAAACATATCATTGAATAGATTGGCTTTTTTTTTTTTATCCTCACCCGAGGATATTTTTCCATTTTTTGTACAGATAGAGTGGGAGGGAGAGAGAGGAAGGAAGAGAGAGAGAGAAACATCAACGTGAAGGGACACATCAAGTGGCTGCCACCCGCATGACCAACCAGGGCTGGGGACAAACTGCAATTGAAGCACGTGCCCTCAGCGGGAACCGAACCCGGGTCTCTCCGGACCGCAGGCCAATGCTCTAACCGCTGAGCCAAACTGGCCAGGGCTTATTTTTTAATTTTTAAAAAATAACTTCAAAAGAAACACTGTTGAGGCACAGTTGTGACTATAAAAGTAAATTGAGTTGAACATTATGCCTGTTACATCAAACCATCTTGTTGCTTTGGAAGAGAACTATTGAGACAAAGACAGTCCTAATATTAAATATTTTCAAAACCATTTTTCCTGATACAGAGATTTTGTTTATTTTATTACTATTATTTACTAATTTGTATTATTTTTAAATATTATCAGATTTACTGATATGACACTCCAAACTTGCCTATACATTGTGGAAAAGGTAACCCTATTTCCTAATAGGAAAGGTATTAGAAAATCTAAATGTAATGATGTAAAGTTACCCTGATATTACTTTTTGTTTATTTTTAATTTAATAAAAGATGAAAGCAGGTTACTTTTGGTTTACTTTTTACTGGTTTTCACCAAATAATATTTATATGCTCCTGGAAGTTTTATTGTACTATGAAGAAACAGGCCATAGCCCGGCCGGTGTGGCTCAGTGGTTGAGCATTTACCCATGCACCAAAAGGTCACCAGTTCGATTCCCGATCAGGGCACATGCCCAGGTTGTGGGCCCAATCCCCAGTGTGGGGCATGCAGGAGGTGGCCAGTCGATGTTCTCTCTCATCGATGTTTCTATCTCTCTCGCCCTTCCCTTCCTCTCTCTCTCTAAAAATCAATTAAAAAAAGAAAAAGAAATGGGCCACAACTTTCACAATAATATGAAAGCTTAAAACTTGGGCTGTAAGTTAAATTGTATATTTGTCATATTTTGTATATTTTGACATATGGTCAGGAACTATCTTTGTGTTTACTGACAATTACCAATTTTGTATTTGATATTGATTATATGTACTCCCTTGTTTGTTTTCCAGGGGATGTATGTATTTTTGCATGCTGTAAAAGGCACACCTTTTGAAACTCCTGACCAGGGTAAAGCAAGGCTCCTAACTCATTGGGAACAACTGGACTATGGAGTACAGTTTACATCTTCACGGAAGTTTTTCACAATTTCTCCAATAATTCTGTAAGTGGTGGAAATTTTTAGGTAGGAGGATTGGATGAGAGACAGCTATTGTTTTATTAGATTGAATTTGAATTAGAAATAATATTTTGTTAAAAATCTGTCAATAAATAGCTACCTCAGATAGAGTATAAAATACAGGCAAAATCTTTAACAGGCTGGGGTAATAAACCAGTTTTCACTTTAGTCAGTAACATATGGAGACAACATTACATGCTCATCAGTATACCTACATATTCTAGGATATACAGGTCAAATATATTCTAGTTCATGTTTGTAAGTTGCTTACAAGAAAACTAAACACACAATCTTATTTATATTCCACTATCCGATTGATCTCTATACAAGGATTTGGACAAATTTCACTGACCACCTGCCACATTTAGATGTTCAGACTCCTTGGGAAAAATAGTATGGTTTTGAGCATTGATTTTCAACCGTATTCCTCTCATGGCACACCAACTAATTACTAAAATCATGTGGCATGCCAAAAATATATATATTTTTGCCGATCTGACAAAAAAGGTATAATTTTCATTCATTTTCGTTGGATGGCTAATATTGTGTTGGCTGTTGTCATTTTTAGTTGGCACTAAGAGAAAAGAGGTCAGTGTCCCTGACTAAATATTCAGGTATTACATGTTTTAATTCTTGTAGCACATCAGTTGAAAATCACTGATTTAGAGAAAAGAGAGGTTAGGCTTTTATTGTGTATAGAATAGACCTGGGTTGAATACTCAATCACTCAGCCAGTTTAGTTTGCTCATAAGTAAAATTCTAGCCTGTTGTACTTAACTCAGTCTGATACTATAAGAAATAAATAATATAACATTTATCTGTAAAGCACTTAATCTTGTATCTGATATCTAATTTTCTATTACCTTATATTCAGGGATCTCCACAAAATGGTTCCTACCTTATTTAATTTATTTTGTTACATATGTTTCTCCCCCAGACACCCTCCTCCCTATCCCATCCCCCACCCTGCAAGCATTGTTGTCTATGTCCATTGATAACGCATACATGCATATAAGTTCTTTGGTTTATCTCATCCCTTCTTATTTTTTTGATGTTCATATTTTACTACCACCAAACTCACACCTTGTCAAGCTCTTCTCAGCAGCATTTCTTGAGTCCTATTTCTATGCCTTTGTTCAAATCACTTCTACCTGAAATGCCTCCTCCTTTCTTAATTTATTTCTTGCTCTTCTCTCAAGATTTAAATTCTGCCTCCTCATTAAAGTCTTTTCCTGAGTGCCTAATCTTCAGTGATAATGCTTTGCTTTGAACTCTCATAGTAGTTCTTACATATTTCTTATTTATGCCACTTTATATTATTTCTTTGTTATTATAAATGCTGTTTTATTTCTACAAGGAATTTGTAAGTGCATAGATTGCTTTGAATTCCCCACTCAATACCGTTGCTTACATGTAATACATGTTTCACATATATCTTTGTAAAACACTCCATACCACATAGCTTATACATAATATATCCACAATAGAATCAGTGCATTGTGGAGTAGTTGGAAAGACTTCTTGGAGGCATTAGAATTTCTTAAACTGGGACTAAAGGGAGATTAGGTTTTGGATAGATGTTCAAGTAAGGGAAGGCATTTTCAAATTAAAAGAATAAACTGATCATAAAATGGTAGGATTTTGTTTTTGTTTTTTTGTATATTTAAGCACTTTGACGACATTTTAAAATTATTTTAAACAAAACGATTGTCAAAAGAAAAATGATTTGTGTGGCCTAACAAAGATAAATGCAATAACAAGAATAATGGTTGCCCTGGCCAGTTTGGGTCAGGCCTGCAGACTAAAGAGTCCCAGGTTCGGTTCCCACTAAGGGCACATATGTCGGTTACAGTTTGTCCCCGGCCCTGATTGGGTCGTGTGGGTGGCGACCACTCAATGTGTCCCTTTCACGTCAATGTTTCTCTCTCTCTCTGTCCCTCCTACTCTATCTGAACAAAAAATGTCCTCGGGTGAGGATAAAAAAAAAAAGAAAATGATGTTTGTCTAAAAAAGATTTGATATACCATGCCTCTTCAGCATCCAAGTATTGTTCTAATACTGTTCTTTTTCTGTTCAATTGCTTTTGTACCTGTCACTTGATATAAAATTCTGGATGACAGTTTTTTTTCCTTCAGTGTTTTAAAAATGCGCCACTCTTTTTTTTTTATTATTGTGGAGATATATATATATATATATGATATATCTACCCTCTTAACAAAATTTTAAGTATAGAGTACAGTATTATTTACTATAAGCACAATGTTGTACAGCAGATCTCTAGAACATTTTCATCTTGCATGACTGAAACTTTATACCCATTGAACAGCAACTCCCCATTTTCCCCTCCTCCCAGCCCCTGGTAACCACTATTCTACTTTGTGCTTGATTAATTTGTCTACCCGGTCGGGGTTGTGCGGGTGGCAACCAGTCGATGTGTGTCTCACATCGATGTTTCTCTCTCTCTTCCCCGCTCTCTCCCTCCTGCTCTATCTAAAGATAAATGCAAAAATGTCCTCGGGTGAGGATAAAGAAAAGAAAAAGAATAATGGTTATTCAAACAGCCTTAAATTTGGATTTTAGCTTTCTGGCTATGTGACTTGGCCATTTTCTTGAAAGCTTCAGTTTCCTCATCTCTAAAACGGTGAGCATTTCATTATTAATACATGTAAAAAGCCTGACATGATGAATTTTTGATAATAGCTATCACAAAAAAGGTCAACTGAGATGTACCTGTGTACAACATCCATATTTCTTTTTTTTTATTGTATTTATTGGGGTGTCATTGGTTAATAAAATTATATAGGTTTCAGTATATACAATTCTATAATACAGCCTCTGTATGTTGTATAGTGTGTTTACCACTCAAAGTCAGGTCTTCTTCCATCATCATCTGTCCCCCTGTACCCTCTCTATCTCTCCGCACCCTCTCCCCCTCTGGAAATCACCATGCTGTCGTTTGTGTCTATGAGTTTTGTTTTGTTTTGTTTACTTACTCCCTTCACCTTTTTCACCCAGCCCCGCAAACACCCCTCCCCTCTGACAGTTGTCAAGTCTGTTCTCTATGAGTCTGTTTCTATTTTGTATGTTAGTTTCTTTGTTCATTAGATTTCACATATGAGTGAAATCATATAGTACTGTCTTTCTCCAACTGGCTTTTTTCACTCAGCGTAATACTGTCCAAGTCCATCCATCCTGTCACAAAGGGTAAGATTTCCTTTTTTATGGCCAAATAGTATTCCATTGTGGAAATATACCACTGTTTTTTGTTTTTAATTTTTTTATTTATTAATTTGTTTTTGTTACAGATGTTTCTCATTTTTTCCCCATTGACACCCTCCTTCCTCCCCTCCCCCAATCCCCAGCTACCAGTTTTTTTTATCCACTCATCTACTGATAGACACTTGGACTGCTTCAGATCTTGTACATAATGCTGCAATGAACATAGGAGTGCATATATTCTTTCAAATTAGTGTTTCAGATTTCTTCGGATATATTCCCAGAAGTAGGATTGCTAGGTCATAAGGCAGTTTCATTTTTTATTTTTGTGGTAACTCCATACTGCCTTCCACAGTGGCTGCACCAGTCTACATTCCCAGTAACAGTGCACAAAGGTTCCCTTTTCTCTACATCCTTGCCAACACTTGTGGTTTGTTGATTTATTGATGATAGTCATTCTGACAGGTGTGAGGTAATATCTCATGGTTTTAATTTTCATTTCTCTGATGGTTGGTGATGTTGAGTATCTTTTCATATGTCTATTGGATTGTTTGTTTTCTTGTTGTTGAGTTTTACAAGTTTCTTGTAAATTTTGGATATGAACCACTTATCAGATGTATCATTGGTGAATATATTCTCCCTTGGTGGGTTAACTTTTCATTTTGTTGGTGCTTTCCTTTGCTGTGCAAAAACTTTTTAGTTTGCCGTAGTCCCAATTGTTTATTTTTTTTGTTTTCCCCTTGTCTGAGGCGGTATATTAGAAAAAATATTGCTAAGAGAAATGTCTGAGATTTTATTGCCTATGTTTTCTCCTAGGATTTTTATGGTTTTGAGTTTACTTGCATTGAGTCTTTAACCCTTATTTCTAAAAATGATTTCAAGTATTCTTCTGTTCAATTCCTTACATACCTGAAGAAGCATCATGAAAACCATCTGTAGCACTGATACTTTTCAGAGTGCTTTCACATTTTCTTGTTTGATCATTATTTGTCAGGTGCAGTGTTATCCCAGATTTTTAGATAAAGAAACAGTATCAGGTGTATTACCTTGCTCCAAATCTTGCAGGTAGTTGGAGTCAAAAGCCCAGACAAAACCCTAAACTTCTAGCTTCTAACACAGGTCTCTTTCCAGTATATCCTTTAACAAATAAACACTATCACACTGATTCCCACCTGTTTTTGCATCTTCTTGGAAGGTTGTCTAGTTATTTTTTTTTTTTTTTAGAGTCAACTAATTTTTATATAGTCTACCCACACAACTAGTTTTCATTAAAAGACAAAGGGGACATATGCTACAGTATGATCAAGAGAAGCCATTCCGAGATTTATTATTTCCAATGTATCAGATTATATATAGATTAAACTCATAATGATGATGGGAAATCAGATAATCTTACTAAATGCAAGTAGTATCCTATTTTGTTCACTGAATGAAATTAAACTGTTCAAATACATGAAATCAGGAAGAAAAGGTTTGAAGATTAAGGAATATGAATTATTCTAAAGAAATAATTTTCTGACTTCATAGTTTGTAAAGTAAGTTCAAGATTATAGAATTCCTCAATTTAGATGGTTCTGAAAATAATGTATACAGCTCTGTTTTCAGTCATATCTGAAAATAGCTTTTCTTTTTTTTTTCCCCAATTTTTATTAATTTATTTTTGTTACAGATGTTTCTCCTTTTTCCTCCCTAGACTCCCTCCTCCCCATCCTGCCACTCCGCCCCCCCCCCCCCAGCATTGTTGTCTATGTCCATTGGTTATGCATACATGCATATGAGTTCTTTGGTTCATCTCATCCATCCCACCCACCCCACTGCTCTGAGGTTTGTCCATCTAAACCATACTCCTTTCTATTTTAACCATATCCAGGCATTTATCTCTCTTTATGAGAAACTGATGATAGTACTTAAAAGAAAAACTGTAAGAATACTTTCCTGTGTGCTCTAAAAATACAAATTAGACAAACACCCATATGCAAACTAACTTCTTAGTTATGATGTTTTATTCTTTTAATCCTGTCTATATTAGGATACTTTCATTAGGGGCCAGGTGTTGTGTCTGTACTCTGATGTACCCCTTGGGTAAAACTAGATAATCTGACTTGATGATTTATGGCTTTACAGTTGGCTTAGGCTTGTTAAAACAAATTCTCAGATGTGTGTCTTTGAATATGTATGTATGTTCAGTTATAGCAAAACAACTGGAATTTAACAACAGTGTCTTTCAAGTTTCCAGTTAAACTGGTTATAGACCTGTCCATCTACAATATGAAAATGAGACCATTAAAAGGGCAACCCAGTATTGGTTTCCTTTCAAAGATACTAATCGTACTAGTACACTAATCCCATTTTCACAACTTTACAGCAGTGGTTCTTAACATTTGGTGGGTTACAAAACCCTTAGAGAATATGAAATATCCTTTGGATCTGGATTTTAAATACAAAATTACACCTGAAATTTCAGGGAACATATGAACCCTATTTTGAAAGCCTGCTGTAAAGGTTGCTAAGTAGCAAACATATTCTATTAAATGCATTTAACATAATTGCAGAAGTGCAAAATGTGTATATATGACTCCATTAAAAAATATTTAAAGTCTAAATAAAATTAATTTGAATCGCCAAACGAAAATGTTTTCTCTTGTTTTAATGCTCAAAAATGGTTCTGCTTTTAGGTCTTTATATTTCAGTGGCCTTTTTTCTACCTTTAAATTTTTAAAAAATTATAAGTAATTTTATTTTTAAATGTTATATTATTCTTAACTTTTATTTCTACAGATATTTTCTGGCAAGTTTCTATACGAAGTATGATCCAACTCACTTCATCCTAAACACAGCTTCTCTTCTGAGTGTGCTAATTCCCAAAATGCCACAGCTACATGGTGTTCGGATTTTTGGAATTAACAAGTATTGAAAGTTTTGAAACTGAAGAAAAATTTTTACAGCTACTGAGTTGCCTGTAAAGAAGGAGTGGTTAGTAAACTGCACTTTTTCTATGATAGTGTGAAATGAGAGGTATTTACATTGGAGAGCCTGTTGCTGGTTCTTCATACGCTGTTTTGAAGTGCAGGGTTTCACTAGAGGAGGCCTATGTTTAATGCATCTGGTAAATTTCTGAAGAGAGGCTTTACAGGTAGGCTGGGCAGGCCCAGCTTATAAGTTAAACGGCTATCAAGTGAGGGTGTAGTAGATAAATCCAAGGAAATAAGAGGTTTATAAGAAACTAAGACCAGCTTAGTTTATAATGAATGGGCATTATGTTAGGAGAAGAAACTTTCCAATCATTCAGTGATGGTCAGTTTAAGCCGACTTACATGTAAACCAAAATAATCTCTTTAGGTTTATTGTAAATCGTTTTTATTACCATACATATTTCTCTTGTGCTGTATAAGAGGATATATACCCTCTTGTTTCATACAAGCCAATTCCTACCTTAGGAGTGTACTTTTTTTCATTTTGCTGGCTCAACATTGTGTTTTGATACACGAGATCATTTTTACATTTATTAAGTTAATGAGTTCATGAAGGTCCACGTTCGTGACTGAAGGTGATAGAAGATAGTTTGACATCTTACAAACAGCCTCTGAGTCAGCCTTCTAATTTTGAAACAGAGTGGGTTTTGCTGCCTTTGTAAACACAAGGCTGCTAAACCAATTAAGAAAATAATTTATTTCACACAGTTAAAGTATATGGTAATTTAAAAGTCTCTGCTTATTTGATTGAGCAATCTAATTATTTAAGTCTGCCATTCTTTAAAAAAAAAAATATAGCCCTGGCCGGTTTGGCTCAGCGGATGGAGCATCGGCCTGCAGACCAAAGAGTCCCAGGTTCGGTTCCTGCTAGGGGCACATACCAAAAAAATAAATTAAAAAAATTAAAAAAGGAAATATAAAATGGACTTGTGGTCTGGCAGCAACTGCTTCTCTAGCAATAGTACCAAAGTAAATAATGGAGTCTTTTTTAGCAGGTCTGCAGTAAAAGATAACATTTTTTTCTTAGTCCTCTTGCTCTCAGTCCCCATACTTTTGCCAATAATAGTTTGACTTTCAGTACGTGGGTCTTCATGTAGATCATAACGCAATATGGTAACTATTTCCAAAGCAGCAGCCATACTGAATTCTTGACTTAGAGAAGCTTCTTATAGTTGCTGATGTTAATTGCAAGAAATAACTATATACAACTTTGAGAAGTAAATATTTCCACACACACACACAAACAAGTTTTGATATGGAATGAAACCTAGTAACATTTATCAATAAAATTGAGTGAAAAGAATTACAAATCAACTTAAAAATAGATTTGTTTCAATAAACTGACTTTTGGGGATAATGATCATTGTTTTGTATTTCAAAAGTATTGACTTTAGAAATCAGTTGTATGATAATGCCTTTGTATGTTTGTCTTCCCCTTGTATTTTTAAATAACCAGTAATCTGTACTTCAATAAAATTTTTCTTTGGTGTAGGATTATTGCAAAATCTCCACATTCAGTCATCATCATCATACTTTTATTTTCAAGGGTTATTTTAAGCAACTGTATTTGTAAAAAAAATTAAGGTAGTTAAAAATATTCCTTTGTTGTTTTTTTTCATTTTTTAAAATTTATCTTAAAAGGCTTACAGTTTTTAACACATACTTCAGAGATAGAAATCTGGCTCTAGTCCAGGCCTTCTGCTGTTTTTCCCACTTTCACCCTTCAGTGTTTTAAAAATATTTATTCTATATTTGAGAGCCCACTTTGTTTTAGGTATTGTGGATACAGTTTATAAACAAGACAGACCAAGTTCTTTCCCTTATGTGCTTACAGTCAAGTTGGATAATTGATAATAAATGAGTAAATAAATACATATCATTTCATGCAGTAATAAATGCCATGGTTGGGGAGGGGGGGGAAAGCAAGTGAAAGGTGGGGGAGCCTGCCTCAGAAAAGACTTCTTTATAGATCCTAACTGGGGTGACCTTACTGATGGACATAGATCTTGGGGAAAAAATGCCTCCCTGTATAGGTAATGACAAATAGTAAGGCAGGAATATTAGGGTGGTGTGCTTGAGGTAAAAACAGCCAGCCACTGGGTCCAGAAAGGAGTAATAGGGGGGATGAGAATAGTAGCAAATGAGGTCAGAGAAGTAAGTAGACGTCAGACCATACAGGGTTTTATAGACCAAGGTAATGAACAAATTTTATGCTAAGCTTGACAAAGCCATTGGAAAGTTTTATACAGCTTAAAGGGATATGATTTTTTTTTTTTTTTTTTTTTTTTTAAGGTTAGGGCTGATGCTGAGAATAAATTGTAAGGGAATAGGAAGATGGAAGAGTAGTTGGGAAGCTACTTCAGGCAGAAAGTAGCTCAGACTAGGGAAATAGCCAATGAAGTGGTGAGAAGTAGTCAGATTTGGGCTGTACTTTGCAAGTGCAGCTCATAAGACACTGATGTATTGCAGGATGGAGGGAGGAAACGAAAATAACTTAGTTTTTTGGCCTTAACACTTAGGTGAATGATTGTGTTAAATATGGAAACTTGCCAATTTCATAAGTTGGTACAGTTTAATGTAAAAAAACACAACTTTTTAAAAACAATTTACAATGCCTATTATTTGGAAGAAAAATCATCATTCCAAATAATTGTTATGCTATAATTGCACCTAATTTCAAGTTAGAGACATAATGGCAATTTCCAAATAGGCATGAGTTTAGAAACGCCACTAATTTTAGCATTCATTGGTGAATCATTCCTGCAGCAGTTATTAATGTGAAGTTCCAATAGTGGCTGTTTTCCTAAGGAAGATTTTTTTCCTTCTTTATTCAATTTTTTTTTTTTATCCTCACCTGAGGACATTTTTCCATTTTTGTTCAGGTAGAGTGGGAGGGAGAGAGAGGAACAGAGAGAGAGAGAGAAACATTGATGTGAAAGGAACACATCGAGTGGCTGCTACCCGCACAACCGACCAGGGCCAGGGACAAACTGCAACCAAGGTATGCGCCCTTAGCGGAAACCGAACCCGGGTCTCTCAGGACCGCAGGCCGACGCTCTAACCACTGAGCCAAACCGGCCAGGGCTCTTTATTCAATTATTTATGTTATGGATTGATTGATATTTTATTCTGTGTTTTATAATCCATTATTATCATTATTAATTTGTTGCTCAAATTGTCCTTCAGCTTTAGCCATTGGGAGCCACAGTTCCCAACAGAACTTTCCAAGTTGGCTCCTGTGTCCTTTTGACCTGCCTTTTTTTTTCAACATAGAACTATATTTTTAGGTTTATGGCACTGTTATCTATTAAACTACAGAGATCCTAAGGGGCATAACAAGATCTCCCTAGCTAATATCTGTGTGAATTAGCCTTATAGAGCTGTATGATGCTAAGAATTAGTGCTAATAAAGGAGGACTTACAACTTTCAAGGCTGTATTTTTTTTTTTTTTTTAATCCTCCCCCGAGGACATTTTTCCATTTTTTGTTCAGGTAGAGTGGGAGGGAGAGAGAGGAACAGAGAGAGAGAGAGAGAAACATCGATGTGAAAGGAACACATCGAGTGGCTGCCACCCGCACGACCAACCAGGGCCGGGGACAAACTGCAACCGAGGTACATGCCCTTAGCGGGAACCGAACCTGGGTCTCTCGGGACGGCAGGCCGACGCTCTAACCGCTGAGCCAAACTGGCCAGGGCTCAAGGCTGCATTTTTGTAATGGAATTTATAACTTGTTTTACACTGAGCCATAATCTAATCCTTATTTTATATATAACTATATATTCTATATAACTCACTATTTAACTTTTAAACTGTTATCAATAGCACTGAATAAACATTAACAGAGCCTTCACTGTTTTCCATATGAAATGGTTTCAGATTTCTCCCACCATCCTGGTATTTCTGCTCTAAGTTCATTATTATATAGTATTAGAGCTAACTATAAGAAGTGATAAGATACGATGTCACAACAACAGTATCATTTCCCTTGTTTTGAGTAAATTTTTTTAAAATGCTGCCTATTATCATTTTAGCTATTTTGAAAGCCACATGTCACTGATTCACTTTATATTTACTAAAACCTCAAGTCTTTAACATGTAGTGCTATTTAATGATGGTTTTCCTTTCATGTACTTACTTGATGAATTTATTAAACCAAAGTCTCAGATTTCTTATTTTTCCCACAGAACCACATCTTGTTAGATTTTAGCCTATAGATTCATTTTGTCTAGCTCAAGTTAAATTTTTATTGTCATGCAGCATATTTCTACATTATGTCTCCTATGTTAATATATGTTGCCAGCCTAGTTGGTGTGGCTCAGTGGTTGAGTGTCGACCCATGCACCAAGAGGTCACTGGTTCAATTCCCGGTCAGGGCACATACCCAGGTTGTGGGCCTGATCCCCAGTGAGGGGCATGCAGGAGGCAGCCAATCGATGTTCTCTTTCATCGATGTTTCTCTCTCTCCCTCCCTCTCTAAAATCAATGAAGAAAAAAATATTTAAAAAATAATAATAATATATGTTGCCAGTAAATGTGACTCCAAAATACTCTCATGCTTATCCTGAAGAAGAAAAATGCAGCACCCATATAGACCAATGCAATTTAATAATCTTTCTCACAGGACAGATAGATGAGTAATTCCCCAAACAATTACCTGGATATTACATGTTGATGTAGGACAAACAAACATGTTTAGGACTGGGAAGATGGTCTAAAAGGAAGTAAGGAGTAGTATTGGGCAGGGAAGAAGTTAGGCAAGGGAAGAGGAAAGATAAACTATGATTCAACAGATAGTTTGTTAATATGGGTTAAAATTTTTTTATTTAACTATAAATGAACTCAGAATTATAAACATCAAATTTAGAATACTGAATAGGGTATACAGCACACAATTCAACTATATTTTGTGATGTTTTATCTCTTGGATGTTGGAGTCACAGAAGTTGATTATTAATACTTTTCATAATCTGAAATGGTTTATAATTTTTAAATAGCTTAGTGAAAATATTTGACTTTTATGTTCAGCATAGCAGTGTAATTTATTCTCTTTGTTGATTCATTCAAGCCCATGATAAACAGCTAATGGTTATGGAAATGACTCAACCTGTAACTTAAAGTTTTGTATAATTTTAAGTTTAGCACATAAGCCAATTTATCACTGTCCTTTTCATCTTATGTTGATGAAAATACATTTTTGTCCAAGAACTGTTGTAAAGAAACTACATTATTAACACTGTAGAATGAACTGTTTTTAAAATATAAGGAATTTTATATAGTATATAAATTTTCTGACTTTCCAATTATGTAGTTATAATTTCTTTTTAATTTTTTTTTTCTTTATTGATTTTTAGAGAGAAAGGAAGGAAGAGGGAGAGAGAGTTAGAAACATCAATGAGAGAGAACATCAATCGGCCACCTCCTGCATGCCCCCTACTGGGAATCTGGCCCACAACCTGGGCATGTGCCCTGACCAGGAATTGAACTAGTGACCTCTTGGTGCATGGGTCGATGATCAACCACTGAGTCACACCAGCCGGGCTGTAGTTATAATTTTTTATCAACAATACTTTTTTTTAAAAACTTCCAACTTTTGCAAAAATTCTGTATTTGTGTTGGCTATTTTATCAAGAAGATAAACATGCATTATTTTCTTCATTTTATAATTTTTTAAATGGAAACAGAGAAGCCAGATGATTTATTGGCTGTTGCCCAGGAAGATACTAGTATACCACCACTACATGAAAACCTGATACAGTGATCCTGCTTTAACACATTCAGCCCTCCTATGAACTATCAAACCATATACTTCTGTCCTGGCACTTAACATTCATAGGAAGCATATGAGAGTAACAAAGAGATTCACCCTCTCCCTCCTGTGCCAAAAACATGTGGACACCACACATTTGAAAATAAAATATCTGAATGTGGCAATTCCTCAAAAACTTAAACAATTACCCTATAATCCAGGCATTCCACTTCTGAGCATATACCCCAAACAAGTGAAAGCAGGGACTTGAAAAGCTATTTGTACAATCCATGCTGATAGCATGTATTATTCACAGTAGCCAGAAGGGGGAAACAACCCAAATGTCTATGGAATGAATGGATAAACAAAATGAGGTATATAGACACAATAGAATATTGTTCACTTTGAAAGGAAGGAAATTCTGATACATGCTACAACATTGGAGGAACCTTGATATTAATGCTAAGTGAAATAAGTCAATCACAAAAGGACAAATATTGTATGATCCTGCTTATATGAGGTACCTATAGTGGTCAAAGTCATAAAAACAGAAACAATGGTGGTTGCCAGGGGCTGGGAGTAAAGGGAAATGGGGTATTGCGTTTAGTGGATACAGAGTTAGAGAAGATGAAAAAGTTTTGGAGGTGGACGGTAGTGATGGTTGCACAACAGTACAAATGTACTCAATACCATTGAACTGTACACCTAAAAATGGTCAAAATCATCTTAGGGTAAATTTGTAAAATAAGCATAATGGCTCAGCAAACAAAATAAAAAGCAAAATATCTTCCAAAGATGAGACCTGATTGACAGTATTACCATTAATGAAAGAATGTTTCATATCAAAAGATAGTTGTTAGCAAAGAAACTTAAGAGAGAGAGGAAAATGACAGTATTTTTAGCACAACTGAATCTATAAAGAAGGTAAGAAGTATGTGACGCAAGTGGGAATGGGTGCATTGGGCTCAAAACATTAGCCATTAAAAGCATCAAACTTATTTCTACTGCACATTTACCAAACAATTATAATTTGTATCTGGCTTTCATTGTAATTTGGTTAACATAGAGAAGGTGAAGACCACCAAGCTCAACTATCCTACCTCCTTCATCATTGAATTTCTCATAAATTAATACATTAGTTTAGTTAGTGGTTTTTACATAGTTTATTAGCAAATTGAATGTGTGACTAAGTACCCTGTAGTCCAGTCACTTCTGACTATCGAATTTCAAGCCTAGATAAGAATCAGAAATCCAGCAATCACACCAAGGTCCTGCTAAGCTATGGATACATTTGTGGTAAGCTACACCACCTTACCCAAGCAACTTTCTCAATGCACACTTTCCATAATGCAGTATTACAGTTGCCTGTTGTTAGACTCGGTTCCTTGAAGATGGGAAATTTTTTTCATCTCTGACAACTAATAAAGTTCCTAGCCCAAAGGGAAAAAAACCAATAAATATTTAATAAAATCCAGTTTAGTAGGACATGATTAGGTAATGAAATGAGTATTGATTCTTCAGTATGTAATTTTCCTCTAAAATTTACAAGTGGGAAGTTAGACAATAGCAGAGACAAAAATGAGCATATTTAGATTTATTTGGAACTCTCAATTCAAGCTGAAGTTCTAGTGATAAGGCTATATTTTGTTGAGAATGTCCATGAGTGGCACTCAAACCATATGATGAAAGCCTAGACAGGCCTCAGAGTATCCATGCCTTTCTAAACAATAACTTCTCCAGTACAATGAAGAACATGGAAGGTGTATACCTTCACTTGCCAAATATGTGGGACGGGTATAAGTGCCATTTCTTTCTACTAACATGCACTCAACCAAAGGAAGAATAATTCCTTCCTAATGTATCCTAGAGTTCTGCTGTTTTACATAATGCAACGTTCAGACTCAACACCAATCAAGAGTGCCTAGATGATGAATCTACTAATGATACTAGCACATACAATGAAGATAACTCTTGACAGCAAAGGAGAGCATTGGGGCACACCTACTGAACATAATTCAAATTGCAAGAAAAACAATGCCAGATGTGAAAGGTTTTATGTTCAGGCTAGATTCCAGTGCAAAATAGAAAATAACCTCTGACTTATCATAGCCAATCAGACAGGATGACTAATTTTTCTTAACCTTTAGGTCTTAATTTTTCTTTTTTTCTCTTTTTGGGTAAACAGTACAGCCTAGGAAAAATATGAGTGGTTTCATCTTTTGGCAGTTAAGAAAACAGACTCCAGAGCTAGATGGACTGACCATATCGTAGTTCTGCACTTACTAGCTGTATGACCTGCACATTACCCAAATTCTGTGAACCAGTTACCTTGTGCAAAATGAAGACAGTACCTACCCCATGAGATTGATGGGAGGGTTAAATAAATAAATCTACAACAGTGCCTGGCACAGAGTAAGTGCCACTTTATCGTTAATTATGGTTATTACTACTACACATAATGAAAAATTTTGAAAACATTAAGTTTCACCTAAAAAACTTTACCTAACATTCTGGTAATTATTAATTGACATATCTGTATCTACCACTAGACTATAACTGACTTCCCAACTGATTTATTCATCTTTTTTTACCAAGAACTTCACACTACAAGGCACAAGTATATGTGCCAGCTCTGCCAATCTTGCATTTATAATGCCCTTGCTTAGTAAAACCTTAAAGCCTACCAGGGAAGAAGAAAAGCTATTGGGATAAATATTCAAACAAGTGGTATTGAGTTCACATACCAAAAAATGTAGAGGTGGGAGAATTTGAGGACACACTATGCTGTTTTGTGCATAATATATTCTGAAAATAGGATACTAAATCTTTAAAGGTATGTGAATATTTACTACAACCACCCCTTAAATTTTTACCACAAAAACGAACCAGCCCCACACATTTTCAAGAAATGGGAGTAACAGTTTAGACTGTCCGACCGGAAACGCTTCCGTTCTCTGTGAGCCCTGTACAAGTCCTTGCGTCTCTAGTTTCCACTGACTCTGAAAATATTACATATCTCAGGCCACACCTTTAGGTTTGGTGATAGTTCATCGGAAATGGAATAATGAACAATCTACCCAATCCTTTTCTCACAGTGGCGTCCGAATCTAGCCCAAACTATATATACATATATATATTTTAATATAGTATAGTGTTTAGAACTTAATGGTGTGTAGTCAGACAAATCCATTTCGGCCTACAGAGAAGTCTTGGTATCTACATATCTGGGGGAAATGCCTGAGCGCACACACAGCATCTAGGGCAAAGGCTGACTTTACGCATATTTACCCAGAGATCAGAGTAACGCCCCTAGGGCAATAGCAACCGGCCCTGACAACGGGACGCTGGCATCGTGTTGATGACGTCACTTCCAGGCGTCGAGGTCCGGCTTTCTAGCCCCGGAGAAAGGGCAGTCCACCCTTGTTACCAGAGAAAGGAGAGAAGTATTAGATACTGTCATTCACCAGGAAGGTGGGTGAGTTGCTCACTCCTCCCCACTGATGCTTTTGTGAGCCTGGAAAAGCGGTTCAAAACCGACTACCTCACCTTCTTACAGCAGACAGCGCTGGCCAAGTCCATTGGGTTCACTTGGGAGCCTTCTTGACCCAAAAGAGAAGTACTTAGCACAAGCCATATTGCCTTAATTTAGTGATTTCTCAGGGTGTGTCTGTCTGAGCTGCACTCCCCGCAGCTGTTCTCTGTAAATTGGTCGATCTCATCTAATCCTAGATGCCCTCTGCCCCAGGGAACAATAAAAAGTTCCAGTACTTACTTGCTCCCCCCCCGCCCCGCCATGCTGTCCATTAGTGTGTTATAGAAAGGGCCTACTTAAACACCCAGGAAGTTTTAGAACAGGTGGTTTGGCAGTATGGAAATACCAGGGGACTTGAGAGATGGACTGCTGTCATTTTGGGATATATAGGATTTTGGGAGATGCCTGTTATGATAAATCTGTGGCAAAAAGGTAGATTTAATTTGATAAACTGTAATTCATGGATAAAATAGGTAAGAGGTTGCAGTCTCTGTAGTCAAGATGTGTTCATTTAAGATGAGCTTTGAGAACACTTATTTCTGAACTAGATGACTAAATCTTATTTTGTGTGTGTTTTGTGTGTACTCTTCCAACCAAATGATTAAATTTTATTTTGAAAGATGTTTCTAGGAAATAGAATGTACTTATTTTTACTGCTCCATTTTGCCTTTAAACCACATTTTGTCTTAATTTTAGCTGTCAAAAAATAAATGACACTTTCCAGAGGACTATTCCTTGCAACTATTGTTCTGTGATATTAGCTGTTTTATAAAGAATAATGAGTCCTGGCTGGTTTTGCTCAGTGGTTAGAGCGTCCTTCTGTGGTCCAGAGAGACCAGGGTTCGGTTCCTGCTAAGGGCATATACCTCAGTTGCAGTTTGTCCCTGGCCCTGGTTGGGTCGTGTGGGTGGCAGCCACTTGATGTGTACCTTTCATGAGATGATTCTCTCTCTCTCTCTCTCTCCTTCTGCTCTATCTGAATAAAAAATGAAAAAAATGTCCTCAGGTGAGGATAAAAAAAAAAAAAAAAAAAATAATAATGAGTGGTTTGGTTAGAACAGCATGAAAGTAAGAGTAATACAAAAAAATTTGTATCTGACTCTCCCGTTTCCCTCCTTAAAGAGCATTATAGTCATTCATACTGTTATTTATAGTATGTAAATTATATAATTATATAGCAAATTGCTACAGCCTAAGTTTTCATAACTTTGCCTAACTGAATGGGTTAGTGGCTAATACCAGATCTAAATAATAATTAGTTTGTTTCTTTAATTTTTTTCCAGGAATTATATATAGAGTAAGTATGCTAATATTGAATAAGACAACAGGAGTTTTTTCTAAACCATCAAAAAGGAGTATTTATGAATATTTAAGAAGTTTTAATTTTCATCCTGGAAAAATATTTCTTCATAAACTGGTATTGGGGATTGAAACCAGTTGTGATGATACAGCAGCTGCTGTGGTGGATGAAACTGGAAATGTTTTGGGAGAAGCAATACATTCCCAAACTGAAGTTCATTTAAAGTAAGTAGAATTATCTTGGTAATTTTCACTTTTTTTGAAAAAGAATGAAGAATTCTTTTGTATTTATCATATATAAAAGTTAAATTTTAGGAGCTAATTTCTTCTCTTATACAAAAGCTTCTGATAACTGCTGTTAGAAAACCTTAAACCCCTCAACCTTGCTTTTAAGCCTCTCCACAATAAGGTTCAAACCTTAGCTAATCCTGTTGCCAAAACAAAACTAAGCTTATTCTCAACTCCAATATTTATCCATGATTTCCCCTCAGTAATGTCCTTTCCTCTTTTCACCTGTATGTGTCATGTTCTCAACTGAAGCCCTAGGAAAGCCTGACTTGACCTCTAGCCTTCAGTTAATCACTGAAAAGAAAAAAATCCTATTCACATTTATATACATAACTCATGTTGGTACTATAATAATAATAATATACTATTGTATTAAATCACAGAATAGCGCAAGATTTATGAACTCAGATGTTTCCAGAGGACCACCAGGCAGGTTATATAAATAAGTGGGCTAGATATAAAGTGGAAAATATCTGGAGGAAGTCACTACTCAGCTCCAGCCAATTATTGCCATGCAGGAATATAAACTCTATGTTATTTGATCATCAGGATATTCAAAAGAAAATGGAAATCCAGAATGTTACTATAATATCTCCAGATTATTTTATTTATTTATTTATTATTTTTTTGGTACGTGCCCCTATCGGGAACTGAACCCGGGACTCTCTGGTCCATAGGCCGACGCTCCAACTGCTGAGCCAAACCGGCCAGGGCAGATTTTTTAAATTAGTAGCTAATTCAAAATACGTTGAAGTACTGTACAGATCAAAAATGCCTTGAAGCCATTAATTTAACAACATCTGAATAGTGAAAAAGGTTGGTATTTTGAGATCACAGACCTGTATTTGAATCATGCATTAGGTATTTGGTATTGCCTAACTTTAGGCAAGTTCTTTATCCTCTCTGATTCGGTGTTCGCATCCATAAAGTGGGAAAGATATCTGCGTTATAGGATTGTGGAAAGTAGAACAGAAATAATATAGAATATTATGATTAGAAATAATATATGTGGAGAGGCAGGATAGACCTCTGATGGTTACATAATATGTAAAAGGGACTATAGATGTTAATAAGGCACAGTGAAGTACTAGAAAGTCCTTGCCTTCAAGAAGCTTAACCTAATCTCTAAGACATGATATACAGTTGACCCTTGGACAACACAGGTTTGAACTGCACAGGTCTACTTATGCATAGATTTTTTTCAATAAATATATTGGAAAAATTTTTGAAGATTTGTGACGATTTGAAAAAAACACGAAAATGAATCATATAGCCTGGAAATATTGAAAAAATAAGAAAAAGGTATGTTGTGCATGTATAAAATATATATAGATATTAGTTTATTTTATAATTTACTACCATGAAATATACACAAATCTATTATAAAAAGTTCAGATTTATCAAAACGTATGCATATATTTACCGTACATGGCACCATGCAGTTGAAGAAATTTAAACAAACATAAAGATGAAGTATTAAGTAATAACTGCATGGAATTAACCGTAGAACATACTGTACTACTGTAATCGTTTTGTAGTCACCTCCTGTTGCTATTGCAGTGAGTTCTAGTGTTGCAAGTATCTGTTTAAAACACTGTATGACTCTAATTATTTCTATGTAAGCAGTTCATCTCTCCAGTATGTTGTGCATCATAGTAAAAAGTGATCTCTTGGGGTTCTTGCGTAGTTTTCATGTTTTGTACAGTACCATACCCCTGTAAGAACTCCATGGGACCCATATGAAGTGCCACTAGTGATGCTGGAAGTGCTCCCAAGAAGCAGAGAAAAGTCATGCCATTACAAAAAAAAGTTAGATTGTTTGATATATATCTAGATATGCCCGCCATTTGAAGGTAAATGAATCCAGTATAAGGACCATTGTTGTTTTTTTTAAAAAAGGATATTTGGTCCTGGCCAGTTTGGCTCAGCGGTTGGAGCGTCGGCCTGCGGTCCAGAGAGACCCAGGTTCGGTTCCCGCTAGGGGTGCATACCTTAGTTGTGGTTTGTCCCCGGCTCTGGTTGGTCCTGCAGGTGGCAGCCACTCAGTGTGTCCTTTTCACGTCGATGTCTCTCTCTCTCTCTTCCTCTCTCTCCCTCCCACTCTATCGGAACAAAAAATGGAAAAGTGTCCTTGGGTGAGGATAAAAAAAAAAAAAAAGAAATTTGTGAGGCTGTTGCTGCAGCTATGCAAGCAGGTATAAACATCTTTCACCCGAGGACATTTTTCCATTTTTTGTTCAGATAGAGTGGGAGAGAGAGAGAGGAAGAGAGAGAGAAAGAAACACCGACGTGAAGGGACACATCAAGTGGCTGCCACCCGCAGGACCAACCAGGGCCGGGGACAAACTGCAACCATGGTACGCGCCCTTAGCGGGAACCAAACCCGGGTCTCTCTGTACCACAGGCCGACGCTCCAACCGCTGAGCGAAACCGGCCAGGGCAACATCTTTCACTTCTTATGAAATACCTTGTATTGAAAATGCAGCTTTTATATGGGTGCAGGATTGCCATAAGAAATGTATACCTATAGAAAAATCCAAGTCATTATATGACAATTTAAAGCAAAAGGAAGGTGAAAGATCTAAAGCTAGAGAATTTTATGCCAGCAATGAATGACTTGATAATTTTAGAGAGAGTTTGGCTTAAAAAATGTCAAGATAACAAGTGAAGCAGCTTCTGTTGACCAAGAGGCAGTAGATCAGTTCCCAGATGTTAAAATCATTGAGTAGAAAGGACATCTGCCTGAATAGGCTTTTTTTTTTAATCCTCACCAGAGGACATTTTTCTATTTTTTGTTCAGATAGAGCGGGAGGGAGAGAGAGGAAGAGAGAGAGAGAAACATCGATGTGAAGGGACACATCGAGTGGCTGCCACCCGCACGACCAACCAGGGCCAGGGACAAACTGCAACCGAGGTACGTGCCCCCAGCGGGAACCGAAGCCGGGTCTCTCTGTACCGCAGGTCGACGCTCCAACCACTGAGCCAAACCGGCCAGGGCCTGAATAGGCTTTTAATGTAGATGATAGTACCCTGTTCTGGAAAGAAAAATGCCACAAAGGACATTTATTAGTAAGGATGAACAGTGAGCACCAGGATTTAAAGGTAGGAAGGGATAGGATTTACAGTATTATCTTGGCAAATGCAGGCAGGTTTGTAATCAGGACTGACCTTATCTATAAAGCTGCTAACCCCTGAACTTTGAAGGAAAAAGATGAATACCAGCTGCCAATCTTTTGGTTGTATGACAACAAGATGGCCTGGACAATGAGAACCCTTTTTCTGGATTGATTACATCCATGCTTTGTAAGGAAGTACATTACTGGTAAAGGACTGCCTTTTAAAGTTATTTTAATATTGGACAATGTCCCTGGCTACCCAGAAACCTATGAGTTAATGCTGAAGGTGTCAAAATGGTCTGTTTGCCTCCAAACACAACATCTCTAATTCAGTCTCTAGATTAGGGGGTGATTAGGACCTTTAAGTCTCATTACACACTGTACTCTGTGGAAAGGATTGTTAGTACTATGGAAGAGAACCTGGATAGAGAGAACCTCATGAAAGTTTAGAAGGATTGCACCATTGAAAATGCCATCATTCCAATGGAAAATGCTGTGAAAGCCATAAAGCTCTAAACAATAATTTCCTGCTAGAGTAAACTGTGTCCAAATGTTGTGCACGACCTCATAGGACTTATGACAACCAATCAAGGAAGTCATGAAACAGATTGTGGATGTGGCAAAAAGGTAGGGGTGAAGGGTTTCTAAATATGGATCTTGGAGAAAATCAAGAGCTAATAGATACCATACCAGAGGAATTAACAGAAGACAACTTGATGGAGATGAATGCTTCCAAATCAGTACTAGATAATGAAGAAGAACTGTAGAAGAAGCAGTGCCAGGAAGAAAATTGTCAATAGCTAATCTGGCAGAAGGGTTCCAATTATTCAAGACTTTTGACTTCTTTTACGACATGGACTCTTCCATGATATGGACACTGAAACTCAAAAAAAAGGGGGGGGGGAGGATTGGTATTATATAGAAACATTTTTAAAGAAATGAAAAAGAGGGAGGAAAATGGTGGTGGAGTGAATAGAAGCTACACAGACTGTCTCACAGGACCAAACTGGAATTACAACTAAAATAAAGACAAGTCATCTGGAAAAACCAACTGAAGAGCAGCTGGACAGAACCCTTATAACCAGGGGTGTAAAGAGGATCCAAAATTGAGACTAGTAGGAGCTGCAGAGGTGTGAGAGGGCTGGCTGAGTGCCCACAGGAAGCAGCTGAGAGTTGTCTTAGCTGTGAGCAGTTCCCTCTCACAAGTCAGGGGTTAAAACTCCAAACTGGCTCCCCAGCACAGAATGGTAGAACAGGGAAAGGTGCCCACATAACACCTGGCTGAGAAAATCACAAGAGCAGAGGTTTTGTCTGGCAGGGAGAGGCTCAGGGAACATTGGCACTTCCCTGAAGGGCCAGTGCACTAAATTACAGCTACAACCACTCACCTTGGCTCCAGCAGAGGGAAGGTGGACTGGACTGGAACTGTGTGAGGAGAGTTGGGGGTTTGTGGCACGGGAGAGAGCTGGGAAGGAGGCCATCAGGAGCTCTATGCTGAGTTACTCTCCCACAACACAGTAGCCATATTCCTCACGAAACCCCCTCCCAGAGTGGCATTAGCTCTGGGGAGAAGCAACTGCCCCTCCTCCCGGGTATTTAATGGCCTCCTGGCCCAGAGAAGTGCAACCTAAGGCTCATTAATAGTCAGAAAATATCTGCCAGCCAGTAGGCAGAGAAGAGCCTCTGAAAACTTTGAGCTTGGGATCTGGCTCTCAGTGTTGGGGGTCATAGCTCTGGGATCTGAGCTGTGAAGGCTGAGGCCTGGGTCCCTGCACTGAGCCAATAATCTACACTGCAGAAACCATTTTCTTCTCAAAGCAA